TGTCGGCGTACTGCACGTCTCACCTTTCTGACTGGTTTCTTCATAAAGCGCCTCCAACGGCGTTTTGATTTGCGATAAGCCATAAAGGCGGCTTCCGCCCTTTGCTGTTCAGAAAGGTGAGTGTCATCCGCTGGATAGTCATTACCAGCAGAGACTATTCCATTGTGCTCATCGTCAGATGAGGTATCTGTGTCAGTGCCAGATTCAAACGGTGAGGGTGGCTGAGACCATTGAGCGGATGACTCCGCTTGGCCCCAGAGGGTTGTGCCCGAGGGCGGGCTTGCAGTGTAGGCGGCGCCTGGCGAGTAGTTCGACCAGGCGTTCGCCTCAGCTGCCTCTGCCGATGCCTGGCCGGTCTGCCCTAGAAGGGCAGTGGCCTCGTTGGGCATATCGGCTGGGTCAGCCCAGGGATTTGGCTCGCCAGGACCAGCGGGTGACCCCGCAGTCGTGGCGTAAACACCTGCATGTGAGTGGTGCCCTGTGAAGATACCCGCTATGTTACCAGGAGAGCGCTCGGCAACATGTCCGTAGTTCCTCATCCTGGTCAACAGCCTGTCATAGTCTGCTTGTGTTCGGGGCATCTGATGATTGAAGGGCTCAAGCAGGTGTTGGGCTCGTGACGCGCCAACGCCTAACGCTCTGAAGAGAATCAGCGTTAGGATCTGAAAGTTGGGGATGACAAAGCCAACAGAGTTAGCCTCGTCACGGGCCATCTCGAATCGAGCTAATACTGAGTCGATTCGCTCGCCCCTTTCGACGCGGAAGTCGATAAGGGCCGTGCCAGAGTTGAGCTGGCGCTCATCTTCCAGATTTTCAAATTTGGTGCTCAGTAAGTACAGTATGTAGGTTACTGCATCCGTTGGCTGTCCATTGACAGTTACACCATAATTGATGATCTGGGAGGGGACCTGCATGGCGATACGACGAGCCAGACCTTGAAGGCCTCGTTGTAGTGCTGCAGCTTGTTGTGGTGGTGTCATATTGCCGCTCGTTACGTTTAACCATGCATGTACTTCGCGAACGTATTCGCGGAAAGGCGTAGTACCGGCAGGGTCCCATGAAGGGCCAGTAGTACGCGTGTCGTCCATCCCCTGCCGCATGTATCCCACAGCACATCCCATTATCACCCATAGAATGCCGAAGATAGTTATCTTGATCCAATGCATATGCATTTCGGCTTCGGTGATTGGTTTAGGCTGTGGTTTGTCAGGCTCTGGCGTGGTAGCCGTGAGACGCCTGACCGGCACGGGATGCAGGTGGCCCCGCTGCGGGTAGCCCCGCAGGGTGACCACGTTCTCGATCGAGTTGCCGATTGGCATCTGGTGGAAGTCGGGAGTGAAGTAGCGCAGTGAAGTAGGAGAAAGCGTCTCGAGTTCGCGGGTTACCCCGCTAGCTCGATCGCGGACTGGCTCCGCTCCTCGCAGAGCCGGCGCAACATGGTATTCCACCGTAGTAGTAGTCCACCAAGTTGTGCCGTGGATTACAGGAATCAGAGCGAGAGCCAGCCACACGAGAGTGTAGCCAGCTCCGCTACCAAGTCGAAAACAAGCTGGTAAGCTTAGGTATGTGTTACGCCTTAGGCGTTGCCATATCCCAGGCTTTGGCTCATATCGCATGAGCAAGAGAGCGAGACGAAGCATGGGATCTGGAGTATAGAGTAGGATGGGCATCGTCAATGGAAAAGATGTTTTCCGATCTCAGATGCAAGTAGTGCGCCTCGGTGAGGCACAGTCACATATCTGGCCGGGCCCGGCTTGAGCCAGGCACGGCAGCGGTACATGCTCGATTTATACCTCGCCTTTAACCTTCTCCGTTTAAAGTGGCCAAGGGGGCCCCCAAGACGGCCAAAGAGGGCCCCAAGAGGGTCCCAAGACCCCAAGAGGCCCCCGAAAATGGGAACGCCAACCGACATTCCGAGCCTTCCGCCACTAAAGACCCCCAGGAGGCCCCAAGAGGCGCCCAAAGAAGCCCCGAAGAGGCTCCCAAGAGGTCCAAGAGAGCCCCAGAGGCACCCCAAGCGAATCCAAAGATAGCAAAATCGATGCTTTCCCGTACGTTTTTAAATGTTTTTCGTCGTCGCAGGTCGTCGTCGTCGTCGTCGTCGTCGTCGTCGTCGTCGCCGCCGCCGCCGCCGCCGCCGTCGTCGTCGTCGTCGTCGTCGTCGTCGTGGTCGTGGTCGAGGTCGCCGTTGTCGTCGTCGTCGTCGTCGTCGTCGTCGCAGGTCGTCGTCGTCGTCGCAGGTCGTCGTCGTCGTCGCAGGTCGCAGGTCGCAGGTCGTTGTCGTCGTCGTCGTGGTCGTCGTGGTTGTGGTCGTTGTCGTCGTGGTCTGTTGTCGTTGTCCCCCTTCAGGGTTGGCAGCGCTGGCCGTAAGGCCTTCGCAGTCAAATCGAATCGGCGCGCCAGGATACACAACTACGCCATGCAAGCATCGGGCCCCATCAGATCGTCTGAAAATTGGAATCGAATCAGATCGAGTCGGCCAGAATCAATAGCGAATCGAATCGATCAGATCGAAGTGGACCCTAGAAAGAGGAGGCGAGGGAAGAGCAGAGGGCAATGTACTTGAGTTGGACTCGTGTGAGGAGCGACCTTCTTCCAATCGGTGGATTGACCTGAAGCAGGCTGGAGAAAAGCAGAGAGCAAGGTAATGATTCCAGGGCGTAGCCGCCGCGAACTCACGGATGGGCCCGCCCCACGAGTGAAGCCGCTCGCGGATGGGCTCGCGAGGCGATTTCACACCCACGATGGCCCTTCCGTTTGCCGCGCGGCAGGCTCGTGTCGTCAAGACCTGCGCGTCAGCTTCTGACAACGCGAAAAATCGTGCCCTTCTCGGCGAGCTGTCCTGGGACGGACACGCACTGGCACCAGTGGAAGACGGAGCAGAGCGGTTTGAGACACTAGAGGCCTCCTAGATGGGGTCCGAGAGGATGGGGTCTGGGATCGCGCCGCATCGGCGATACAGCGCCGATGCATCGACGATGCATCGGCGACGTCGGCGAGGCATCGCCGGCGTGGAAAAAGTCGGGCTCCACATCGAGCCGCATCGGCGATGCCGCGCCATCCCCCGACCCCATCCACTCCGACCCCATCTATGAGGCTTCGAGACACTGTGAGATCAAAATCGGTCCCGGACCGCACCAGTCTTCCGCGCTGCACACAGCTGTGGCGACGAAGGGGCCCCCCAAGGGCCAGCTACCGGGATCTCCAACGGCCCTCCGTGGGACACGCACAAGGACAAGCTATTACGATGTGCATTCCTCGGAGACGTGCGTCCGACCCGAACATATAGTACAATCATGTAATATTCGATCGTTTCCCGAGCGGTACGGCCAGAAAGCGCCCGACACGGAGCATATACTTTAAGATTTCTCGGCGCGCGCGTCGCCCCTTTGGGGGCGACGCACACATAGTGTTAGTATGTGTGCGTGGCGCCGACTCCGCTGAGGAGGAATGGCTGCGCATCGGCCTCGAGCCGTAGCAGACACCTCAGCTGCTCACCACGTCCCCATGACAGCAACTGCACCCCCTCCCCCCCCCAAAACAGGGATCGATCCACGAACCCGACTGGCGAGCGAGGATCGAAGAGTGAGGAACGAGGAAGATCGAGGAGGAGCGAGGAGGATCGAGGATCGAGGAGGATCGAGGATCAAGGATGATCGAGGATCGACGAGCGGCACCGTTCCACATCGGCCGGTTCTGGGCGACCGGCAGCGTTCCACCCTGCGCGCCAGCGCTCGGGTCACCGCCGCGCGAGAGCGTGCCTCCCCTCCCCGTCCCTCACCCCACCTATGTCGGGTCGGGCGAAAGGGGGGGATAGCACAGGGGGGGTTTGAGAATCAGCTCACGTAGCTGATTTTTCCAGCGCCTCCCGGCGCCGGGAGCGGCCATGTATCGAGGAATTGGCCCTTCGGTGAGGCCGAAACCAGCTGCATGCAGCAAATTTCGTAACCCCCCCTTTCCCAATCCCCCCCTTTCGCCCGACCCGAACCTCTGGGGCGGCACAGCCCGACCCCACCCACGCATCAACAGAGGCTGCTGCGCCACCATGTCCACAAGCCCCGCCCCCGGGTGTGCAGCAGCCCCGCACGGCGCACGCCGCCGCGCGTGCCAGGGCCTCCGGAAGCCCCGAGTCCGGCGGCTGCTCCTGCGGTGCCCAGCCACCTGGGAACCTTCCACCCCGAAGGCAGCAGCAGCAGGAAGCCAGGCAGCCGGCAGGACGCGCTGGCAGAAGGGAGCGCGATTGGCTGCTCTTCGCGGGACATAAACATGCAGGGGAGGCACTGCAGCCAAAACCGTCGCCTCTGCACCCCGCAGGGAGGCGTAAAAACTCACAGTCCTCCCCTCCCCCCTCCCAGACCTCCGACGTCGTGAGCTTGTTCAGACCCCCCTCCAACGTGGACCCCTGGAAAACAGGACCTTTTCCCCGGGACCGACGTTTCGTCCCGAGTCGTGTTTGAGCGTTCTCGGGGCCCCGTGAGAACCCCCAGGGGCCGAAATCGGCAAAAACCTCCCGGCCGTCATCCTTTCGCAGCGAGAGGAGGCCAGAGCTTCGCCCTTCCTTGGAGTTCTGCGTAGATATGGGCACCAACACCAACACACGGGGTTGCCTCCACAGGGGGAAGGTGATCCTAGATTTCGGCGTTGGTGGCAACATTTCGGCCACCTCGAAAGCCAGAATATGACCACCATCACCGAGATCGGGATCTTCTTCCCTCGGTGGAGGCACACCGCCGATGTATTGGTGCTGGTGTCAACCTCTAGGCCTGCGCCCTCCTCCCCTCCTCGACCCCACTCTGGAAGGTTCTCGGGACAGGAAGGAGGTGGAGGTGGAGGCTCGATCGAGGTTCTCGGGCTGGGGGACTTCTGGAGACCTCCAGAGACCTCCTGAGACCTGGCGAGGAGGAGGAGGAGGAGGAGGAGGGAAGGTTCGGGTGATAGGCGAGGAGTGGGGGGGGAGGGCGCGGCGGCGCGAGGGCGTGGTGCTTCGTGGGGGGCGTCGCCTCCCAGACGGCCCGCGACCCCTCCTCCGCCACATCCACCACCAGCGCGTCCTCGGGGAGGACGGGGGGAGGCTCCCAGAGGCAGAGAAGGGGGGAGGGAAGGAGTATCGGCGTCGGAGTACACATCGGTCGAAAGAAGTAGGTAGAAACATGAAATAGGAAGGCGGAAAGAAAGCAGATTGGGTTCCGTCCGCCCCTTACGGAGGATGGAAATGTGAAGCCACTCCATCATTGAAGTAGGGAGGCGCTTAAAGTAGATTCGAATCTGGGAATCCAAAAATACCTACTTTCAACGACCGACGGGTACCGGATCCCTGAACAATGACAGATCCGAAAGATCAAAGGTCCACAGACGCTTTGGGTCGTGGCCCTCGGCAAAACCTGTTGATGCACTCCTGGCGCTGCATCGTGGCTTTGGAGGGGTGGCACGCAGCTACTGGAGAACGAACCTGCTGAGACCCATGGGCCCCGCAACGGATACAGCACCAACCCTGGGAGACTCCATCTCATAGAAGATTGCGAGGCAAACAGACCCATCCCCCCTAAATGGATCCTGAACCCCCGAGGTGGTAAGGAGGGAGGGAGGGAAGGAGGAGGGAGGGAGGGAGGGAGGACGGGAGGGAGGGAGGGGAGGTTCGAGGACGAGGGAGGGAGGGAGGGGAGGGAGGGAGGAGGTTCGAGGACGAGGAGGGAGAAAGAGAGGGAGGGGCAGGGATCGAGGTGCCCTTCTCGCCGTTCTCCCGCTTGTCGCTCGTCTGGGCTGCCGCTCCCTTACCCTGGGACCCTGGAACGATGCACTCTGCCGAGATGCTGCGCCATCGGCTGACGAACAAAACGATGATCGAGATGCGTTGGACGTCTTTGGCGACTTTTGTGGACTTCTTTGGGGAACGAAGAATGACTTGAACACTAAGACTCGTAGGTCCGCGCGGATGGATTTCTCGGATCGGCGCCGGAGATCCCTGGCGGCACCTCCGGCGCCGCCCCTGGCGCGCTCCGCGCGCCAGGGAGGGGGGTCCAACCCCGATCCGAGAAACCCGCGCGGACCTCCAAGTTTTATGTTTATGTCATTGTTTGTCTGTTGAAAGTTGTTGGGCCTCCCTGGGCCTTCAGGAGGCTCCTCATTGCCACGGTTGGATTCACCTCGCAATCCGTGCCAGAACGCGCAATGGGAGGCGTCGGGGAGGCGCTTTCGAATGAGGGGGTCCGAAAGGCAGGGGGATTGGCCCAGGGAGGAAGAGCATCGACCTGGAATCGGCGATACATCGTCGACAGATCGACGCCAGCCCCGCGATCGCGAAACCCCACGCTCCTGTTCAGACTGGGGCGCCCCAGCCACGATCGGCGAGGAACGGGCGATTGGGGGTCGATCGCGCCACCCCCAGCCAAAATCCGCTCAAGATCGGTCCCTGGAGCCCTCCCACACACGCGAACCCTACCGCCACGAGTCGGATTTCTGAAGCGCCAACTCGGGTTTAGAATTCGAAGGATGCCTATAGCCTGGTGAGCCCCAGCGGGGGTGTCACTGAGTGGACCCCCCAGGGTAGGGATCGCAAGTGGTCGCAGAGTTCATCAGTCACGCCGAGTTGGAGCCACGGTCGGTCGCGCCACCACCCCTGGCCAGAATCCACCATCCAGCAGGTGGGCGCCCACGATGTGCAGCTTCCCCGACGCGTCCAGCTCGCACAGGCGCCGGCTCGGGCGGCCTGGCGGGCGCCGGTGGCTCCCCGGGGAGGGCCGGGACTGGTCGGCAACGGCAGCAACAAGCACACGCAGGAAGGCCAGCGAGCTACAACTATCTGCAGGCGGGCCTGCAAAGGAAGCGCTCGAGCGGCGCGCAGGATAGAAAAGGGAGAAAGAGGAAATGTTCGCTGGCAGCTCATGGGAGCCTCCCATGCCATCGTGCTGGCTCTTGCGATTCAACGCTAACCGACGCTAATGGACGCTAGATCGACGCTAATCGACGCTGAGTCGCCGCTGCCTCATCGATTACCAAACGCTGGCGCACGACGGAAGCTGGAAGACACACAAGGTTCCCATGAGTTGCGACCGAAGAAATGGCAGGAAGGAAGATTAAGCCCAGCCCGACACCCGAATTCTCCACCGTGGACTCCTTCCCGGGCCTCCGCTGATGGCCCACTTTCGACCTCTGGGGGCCTCACAGGAAGGCCGCGCCGCCGATTAGGCTTGCTGCTCCCTGCGCCAGTTCCACTTTCCAGTTTCCAGTGTTATCGTCCTGCTTTCTGCTTCCTAGTGTGAACTGTTGAAGTCCGCGCGAGAGTGGGGGCGAGCCCAGAATAATTCCAGAAGGTGGTGTCCGCCGTCCAAGGCCCTCCAATTTCCAAAAGGGGGGGCCCCAACCCACCTGTCGTCCCCCCTTTTTGGGGCAGCGGCATACATCCCACCCCCTCCCTCCCATTGCACCAACACGGGCGGGGGGTTGCAACCCCCCTGCTCCAGAACCGTACGCCTGGCACGTAGTCCTATACCTAACACCATGAACCACAGGCACTAGAACAAGCCCTAACACCCTACCACCCTAACCCTGACAACCTATAGCCTATCACCCTAACCCTAACCTCCACCTCGGCACCCAAATCCTGACGCCATCCCCGTAACCCTAAGTGCTAAGCCGATCATTGGCATCCTGACCCTAACCCTGACACTCTAACCCTAAAACGCTAATTCTTTCGAACCGTCCCAGCACCAAAACTCTGACCCTGACACCCTATCCAACCCTAAGCACGAGCCCAAAGTCAAAGACAGAGACAGAGAAAGAGAGAGCGAAAGAGAGAGAGAGAGAGAGAGAGAGAAAAATAAAAAAAAAAAAAAAAGAGAGAGAGAGAGACGCAGATATAGAGAGAGTGAGTGAGTGAGAACAGGTCGCGTCCGTTCTGCCGCGTCTGGCGCCTACGCCAAACTGCTGTGCGAGCAGGTTCTTCGTCCGGAGCAGAATGCCGCGGCAGATGATGGAGGAGTAAAGATCCTCCAACGGCAACATCCGCCGAATCCTCTTCGTCATCATGTCCCCTTCCCCTCCTCTTGTTCGTCCGCCTCCTCCTCCTCCTCCTCCTCCTCCTCCTCCTCCTCATCCTCATCGTCATCATCATCTCCACCACCATCACCACCATCACCATCATCCACCGTCATCATCCTCATCATCAGCATCCTCATCAGCAGCATCGTTTCCTCCTCTTCATCCCCGCGCCGCGGCCTCCCTCCAGGGGAACAAAAACATACCGATACCGATAATCCACGACGTTCTGACACGGCCTTCGAGGCGACTCCATCACGGGCGACGAGGGACGGGTAGCGGTTTCGGTATCGTTGCCTCCTCTGGAACTCCTCCTCCTCCTCCCTCCTCCTCCTCCTCCTCCTCCTCCTCCTCCTCCTCCTCCTCCTCCTCCTCCTCCTCCTCCTCCTCCTCCTCCCCCTCGCCCTCCCCAAACATCCGTCGAGACACCTGCCCGGGAACCACTTCTCCGTCCCGAGTTGCTTTTGACGGTCCACGGGCCCGGCGAGGGCCCCTGGAGGCCGAAAATGATGAGAAACCTCCCGTCGTAGGCTTGGACGACGCGAGGGGACCCGGGTCACCCGAAAAAAAAAAAATGAACGCTCAGTCTGGGGACCTTTCTGGAGCCACTCGCTCCACTCGCGCGTCGATGCTGAATCGATTGGCCCTCGGCTTGAATCGAACTTGCATCGAACTTGAGCCAAGCTGGAGTCGAACTGTACTCGAACTGGAGTCGAGCTGGAGTCGAACAGATCCGTCCGGTGGGCCCCAAGAATGCCCCCATAACTAACATCGAACTTGGAGGCGGCAGGGGGGTCTGAACTGGATGGGCCCCGCGAAATTGAGTCAAGACGGGGGATGAAGCCAGATCCGCCCAACAGCAATCCCCAGACCCCTTCTTGGGTCCATCTGGTGTGGTTTTTCGCCCCAGATCCGTTTTTGACAGTCCTGGGGCCCGAACGCGGCCCCCAAAGACCGGGAAAACAAACAAACAAAGTAAAAACAAAAAAACAAAAAATGCCCGAAGCAGAAACCTAAAAAACTGGCCCACACTACTTTTCTGCTGGGTGAAACCAATGCTCGGCCACCTCAGACCCCCAGGAAACTCCAGATCGAACCCCGCACCGACCAGCACTCCCTGAGGGACAAGGACCCACCCGATGGCAACATCAGGCCCTCGGGGAAAGTCATGCCACTCTTCGGCGGCAGCCCCCGCGAGAAGCGCGACAGCACGCTCAGCCCCGCCTCGGTCGGGGACACGCGGGTGCGAGGCAGGGGCCCAGGACGGCCCGATCCCAGCAACGACGCCCCTGCCCAGGCCGACCAGCAGCAAGGATCGAGGGTCGAGGATCGGGGGCCTCCAAGAGGGGAGCGTCCAACGGGGGAGGATGGACGTGCGATCGATGATTGACGTGCGATCGATGGTTTGTCGATGGTACGCCCACGGTTCCCCAAACAATGTTTGCCCTTAGTGATTTTCCAAGGAACTGGACCTGTTTGTCGGTCAAACAGCTCTGTCGTGGGTCTGGCGGCTATGTTGCCGTCGTCGCCGCCCCGTCGCCGCCTAATCGCCGCCTGGCGTCTGGGCCTGTCACTGTCACTGTGACGGTTGCTGTCGCCGTCGCCGCCCCGTTGCCGCCTGGCTTCAGCCCTACACTGCACAACATCAACGATCCTGTCTACATGAATACTAGGATATACCCCTCCCCCCCGGGCCTTACGAGTATGGATTTCAAAATCGGGCGTCCAGAAATACATACAAAATAAAAGGTTACGCGACACAACACTTCAAAACAAGCTTGCGTCCGGGCCCTTGGGATGGAAGGTGAAAATAAAAAAAATAACAAAAATGATCCTACATGTTCATAACTTGCTGCCAAACGGACCTCTTCGCGCGCATGTCGGGATACCTCGGACGCCCCAAGATCCTGTTCTTATATGCTTTATAAGCAAGCCCCCCCCCCCCCAAACAAAAAAAAAAAAAAAAAAAAAAAAAAAAAAAAAAAACGAAGTGCACACGCGCGCGTCGTCGCGCGCGCATGCAGGAATTCTTCAGGAACATTTGCGTTCATAAGGGTATCAAATTCGGATGTCCGAAACATCAAAACATATGAGCACCTGCTTTGCAAGATCTGGGTTTAATAAGGACTACAAACACGCGCCTGCGGATTCAACATGCCCATTACATTCGCCACCGCCGCACGTCGGAATCATTCGAACGCCCATGCGCGCGCACACTGGGGGGACAATGCCATGCGTGCCACTCTCGCGCGTCGGCCACGCGCGCGTGTCGAACTCCCTCCGGAATTTTTATCACCGACGCGAGGGCGCCGTCATCGTCGCCGGAGTGATGAGCATTCCTTTGCACAAAAACAACAACAACAACACAATTAAAAAAACGGGCCGATGTGCACACGCGCGCGTCGTCGCGCGCGCATGCAGGAATCCTTCGGGAACACTTGCGTTCATAAAGATGCCAAAATCGAATGTTTCGAACACTTAAACATAATAATACTTGCTTTGCAAGATCAGGGTTTAGTATGGCCTACGATCACGCGCCTGCGGATTCAACATGTCCATTACATTCGCCACCGCCGCACGTCGAAATCATTCGAACGCCCATGCGCGCGCACGCTGGGGGGACAATACCACGCGTGCCACTCTCGCGCGTCGGCCACGCGCGCATGTCGAACTCCCTCCGAAATTTGCATCAACGACGCGAGGGCGCCGTCATCGTCGTTGGCGTGAGCAGCATCGGCACCATCACTGGCCTTGCCGTCGTCGTTGTCACAACCGTCACCAGCATCGCTACAATCATCTGCGCGTCTCCCGTTGTCGACGATGCCATGGTACCGCGCCCGCCAAAGTCGCCGACTCGCACTGAAGGGCCCGCTAGAAAAGGCCCAGCGGTAAACGCCACCGCGGCCGCGTCGGCAGCGCCAAACTACCTGGCCGCTGCGCGCGCGAGCATGCGCGGGCCAGCGCGGCCGCAGAGATGTACCAGCCAACTCCACGCACTCATCGCAATCGCCGCCGCATGGCTTGCGCAGACCAAGTGGGATGATAGCGCGAACAGTGGAATGGGCAATTTACTGCAAACATAAATGGATTGCACCGCATAGATCGCACCACAAGCATTGCACCACATAGATTGCACACCATGTATTTGACCACAAAGATCGCTCAACATGGGCTGCACCAGATCTCTTATACCTATAAACGTATATAGATATGTACATATACATATACATATGTATGCATGCATACATACATACATTCGTGCACATACATATATGCATGCATGCATACATACATACTAGAACCATCGCGCGCGCTCAAGATCTAGCTAGGCTGGATGGTCGAACTCTTAGGGCTTCCTGTTTGGCTTCCGGGAGCCCAGGGCTGAAAATGTTCCTTCGGCCCCCGCCTGGACCGCTGAGCTCTTGGGGGCCTCTTTCCGGCCTTCTGGATGCTGCTCGAGGCCGCTTGGGGGCCTCTTGGGGGCCTCTTGAGCTCTCGCGGGAGCCTGAAGTCGTCATGGGACCTTCTTGGCATGTCTTCGGGGGCATCTCAGAAAGAAATTTGAAGCCTTTTGGATGCCGTCTTGGGGCTTCTTGGAGCCTCTTTTGAACATCTTGGGGGCACTTGGGGCCTCTTGGGGGCCTCTTGGGGCATCTGGGGGGCCTCATGGGGCCTCTGGGGGGCATCTTGGAGCGGAGAGCTTGATTTTTCAGTTCGCGTTCCCTCTCTTGGGCCCCTCTTGGGGCCTTCTTGGGACCTTCTTGCGCAGTCTTGGGCGGCTCTGGTGCCGTTTCGGGGCTCTCTTGTGCCGTCTTGGGGCCCTATTGGGGGCCTCTTGGGGCCTCTTGGGGGCCTCTTGGAGGCTTCCCGGGGGCCTCTTGGGGCCTCTTGAAGGCATCCTGGGGCGGAGGGCTTGATTTTTCAATTCGCATTCCCCCTCTTGGGCCCTTCGTGGGGCCTTCTTGGGACCCTCTCGCGCCATCTTGGGCGGCTCTGGAGCCATCTCGGGGCTCTCTTGGGCCGTCTTGGGGCAGTCTTGGGGGTCTCTTGGGCCGTCTGGGAGCGGTTTTGGGAGCCTCTTGGGCGGTGTTTAGCGCCAGAAACACGAAACAACGAGAATGCAGAAAACATGTGGAACCATTAATGGAAATCCACGATTTTGCCCTTTCCGGGCGCTCTTGGGCGGCATCTTAAAGGCCTCTTGGGGCATCTTGGGGGCCTCCAGGATAATTTAAAACGCATCGTGCGACCTCTTGGGGGCCTCGTGGGGCCTCTTGGGGGCCTCCTGGGAGCCTCTTGGGGCCTCATGGGGGCATCTTTGGGCGGAGAACTTGATTTTTCAGTTCGCGCTCCCTCTCTTGGGCCCCTCTTCGGGCCGTCTTGGGACCCTCTTGCGCCGTCTTGGGCGGCTCTGGGGCCGTCTCGGCGCTCTCTTGGGCCGTCTTGGGGCCTTCTTGGGGGCCTCTTCGGCCGTCTGGGAGCGGTTTGGGGGGCCTCTTGGGCCCAAAACCATTCAAAAAACATATGAAAATGTACGATGTTGGCCTCTTCGGGCGGTCCCGGGACGCCTCTCGGACCTCTCTCGGGGTCTCTGGGAGGTTACCTGGGAGCCTCGAGAGCCGTCGGAAGGCTGACTTGGGCTGCTTGGGAGCTTTTTGGACCATCCTTTCGCATTCTGGGGGTTCCTGGGAGGCGTCTCGGGCCCTCCTGGAGCGCTGTGGAGGCCCCCGAAACGCCCAAGAGAATGGCACCGGGAGCGTTCCCGAGATGTCACAGGGAGGTGTGGCACCCGGGGCCGGGGGCGGCTCTATTGGAGCGCCCCACCGCCGCCCGTGGCTGCTCAAGCAGCGCCACCCCCCGGCCCGCCACCATTCTGCTTCGGGCGCCTGGGGGGCTTCTCGTCGTTCTTGCCGCTTCCAACACCTGGGGCAACATCGGTCGAGCGGGCCAGC